GAAGATGGTCGCCGATATGCAGTAAAACGTGCTTTGGATGCATTTCGTAGCTCGGCGGATCGCAGTCTCAAGTTACGCGAAGTGCAAAAGCATGAACTCTTACCATCTCATATCAATCTTGTGCAATTTTGCAAGGCGTGGGAGGAAAAGTGAGTCAATATTTCCATTTCTTAGATTTTGAAGATGGAATTTATGCTTTAGCGGTCGTTTGTACATACTGACTGAATTATGCGAGAGAAGCTTGCTAGACTATTGCTCCCAAATCCATACGGTTCCGGAGAAAGAAATCTGGAACATCTTCATCGATGTTTTACGGGTAAAATTTACATCTTTCTTATATTTTCTGTTTATTTGTGGGTATAAAAATATGATTACTGTAGGCTGTCGATCACCTTCATCGCCACGATCTCCTTCATGTCGACATCAAGCCGGAAAACATATTTCTCACTAAGGATAAAGTGTGCAAGCTCGGCGATTTCGGGCTCATATTCGATTTGAAGAATGTGGGTAAACAATTTTCTTCCCTCAATTTGAAAATTATCACTAAATTTGGAAATTTTTTCCTTAAATTGTATGAGAAGATCGGAATAGCGCGTTTTGCTAGCGCTTTCAAAGAGTGAGAAATGAGTGAGATTACCACGCATTTACTTTGGTCAGGAAGCGTTTCACACCTAGAATTTGCCCATCACAAAGTTTTAGGAAAAGTCTTGTTCGGTCTTGGACATGCATATTATCTGAAGAAAAAATCATAGTCTGCTCACCCAGTGTATCTGATTGAGGGTTTCAGGACACTTCCTACACACCTGAAGAAGGTGATGCGAAATACCTGGCTCCGGAGGTGTTGAATGCTGCACCAACCAAGGCTGCTGATGTGTTCAGCATTGGCATTACGATTCTTGAAGTCACTACAGACCTAGACCTACCCTCGAGAGGCGATACCTGGCATCAGATTCGAAGCGGCGACATCCCAGATCGATTCTTTTTAGGTAAGTTTTTTTGCTCGACTTCCTTACTAGTTCTTGTTGGCTTCAGGAGTCTCTAAAGACCTTACACGGCTTATCAAATGGTTGATGTCTCCTGATCCTGGTGCTCGTCCCACTACAGCACAGGCATTGTCTGATACAGCGATTGCAAGTAGAGCGTCGCTGCGCTCATGCTATCTGGTCTATCATCAGACGGTAATGGGATATTTCAAAATTATTCAAGAATTTTTTATCTTCTTTATTCAGACAAAAATGATCAGTGATCACTCGAACACCATTTTGATGTGGATCGTTGCACTAATTCATTTGTTGGCGATTCCATTCACAATGTTCTTCGACGCGCTAAGAAAGAAGAAAAACGACCTTTGTACAACGCCATCCAAAGGAGCTGCGATGTTTGTGGTATGCTCATTCTCTCATCTCGCTGGTATTTTTGCTATTGGGTCTCTGATCTACATATATTCGATTTATCTTGTAAAACCTTGCGATCAGGCAGTTATTCTCATGGAAATATCTAGCGTGCATTCTAGCTGTTGATTTGATGGTTTTTCTAGAATTTTTACTTGCAAAAGTAAATCTGTACATTACGGCTTTTATCAAAAATTTGCCCATAAATGTAAGCCTTTAGACTCACACTCCTGAAATAAATGGATCGATAAGGCACGAAAGGATTTCTAGATGGGATGATGACAGCGATTCAGGTATTTGCATAAAGCTTTTCCATTTTTACCTCCATTGTAGCACATCGCTATTCCAGAAGAACATCTTCCAAGGCACAGCTTCACAGCAATGA